CTTGTTGATCGTGATCGGTGTCGCATCACGGAAGCCTAAAAAGGCCGCCGCTGGTCGTCCTGGTGCGCGTTTCAAGGCATAAGGAATCGCCGGGAGAGTATCAAGAAAAGATGGCATCGGGTATGGTGGCGGCGGCACGATCGGTGTCTGGTTCTTTGTCCAGTAACCGGGGCTGTAACCATATTTCAAGTCTGGTTATTGCACGAATCTGGTTTTTAAACAGCCCGTAACCGACCATGGTAAACCGCCAAAAAACCCTGTGTATGCGGTGCGACACACGTGAGTGAATTTCGCCCGACCGCAGGATCGCTGGTATGTGCCGGGTGTACAGGGGCGAAAAAGAGATAGATGAGTGGTACGATCGTGACTAGATGTTTGGCGCCAGAATCTGGACCACAATAGACATCTGTATTACTTTAAATCTGATATCTGTTCATAGTATGTATACCATGCCTCATACTTTAGTATATTCTTGTTCTAGCATGTTTGCCCTGTCTCATACCACATCATTATCTGTTTCATAAAATGTTTATTCTTATGAAACATAATAATCAAGTGGCTCATCCGTATCATTGATTGATTATTATAAGCAGGTGTCGGGAGTTGAGTCGAAGATCATGTTCGAGACGGTCCCCGAGAATGGGGCAGTCGACGAAACTCTGCACAGATTTCTCATCGAGATTCAAGACATCCCAGTTTTGAATGTCAATGCATATAAGGACATTCACATGACGGTGGCGTATCGGGTTCAGATTTCCGGAGCCCGAATCACAGATTCCAGAGTTTCAGAGTATGGTTCATGCGTTCGTCAGAGAATGGCTGGTGGTGCATAAGCGGCAGAGGGCGACATGCTTCAGGTTAGAGAGGCGAGAACTCCTTGGCACTAGGAAGATGAACGATATAGACCTTTTGGAAGAACAATCAGGTGTTCCCAAAGGGCAGCGATTGTACAAAGACTTGTGGCAGGCCAAATAGTAAACAAGTTAGAGGACTCTCCTATTGTTTTGATTACAGTACGCCGTTGATGATCGAAACATGTTCCAAAGCGATTCTTGTTTTCGTTTTATTCTGCACGATCTATCAATTTGCCACGTCAAGTGCTTCGGAACGTGTTTGGTAAGGATTTGTTTATTTTGCCCAAAGCTTTTTCCACACCCGTCCAAAAATCCTTGCTAGTGACACATTTCCTCCCACCACCATCAGGTTTAAAGTAAAATACCCAGAGCAATTCGCTTCTCCTCCTGCACGGTTTCACTCCGAGAGCTTCCCAAGCAGCAACCTCCTTCGGAGCGTCTTGAGGCCAAGGCATGACCTCATCATCATCGTAAGCCTGCCAAATATATTCACGCTTGCATAAGTCCCTATAATCAACCAACAACAACAACATCGGTGCTGGCCAAGCCAACACCTCATCTTTAAACTCAGTGTAAGCAATGCTGGTACACTGTATGAGAAGTACAAGGACGGTCAGGAAGCTACCAAACAAGATGTTGGCATGCTCAGGTTCAAGAGATGCAGTGCATTGATAACACTATAAATACAGCTGGCAAAACTCACCGTTCCGTGGGTCACGGCTCTTGGAGGAACTTCCGGAACGCCTGCTTGACGTGGGACACTCTCTTCTTTGACCGGTCTTTCAGGCACCTCCATTTTTTCAAGGTCAAGGACGGGCACCATGTCAGAGGGCAGCGATAAAGTGTTGTCCGGAGTCAGGTTTGCCCTCTCAAGACCTGATGCTCTTACATGGTCCTGTTTGCAGAATTGCTGCAGCTCGACGTCTAGAGCCAGTGATTTCAAGGGTGCCGGTTTGTCGCAGAATTCACACTTCCCCTTGTGGATATGCCACCGCTCAAGATAGTCCAACAGCTCAAAGCAGTCTGCATGGCGGCACTGCTTTCCTCTAACAGGGTTGACCAGGATGTCCTGGTTAATATGATTTCTGAGTGCAATTGTCTTTACAGTGGTGCGGCTTTGTCTTTGAAAGTTGCTCTGTTGCTGCACAAGCTGTGGTAGCAACTCATCCACTAAAAGATCCCTAAAAATCTCAGTAGCGTCCCTGGCTACCTCCTCCAACATCAGAAGGTGGTTTGCTCGCATGCTCTGACATATAGGACAAACCAGCACCGTTGTTGCAGCTTCAGCCAGCCGATGGCAGAGCTGATTGTTGCGCAGCTTGTTCAGGAGCTTCTCCACATGAATACAGGAAGCGCCCATATCGCCTCACAAATGCCGATTTAGGGTTCTATAAGATATGATGCGGCCCGAGGAATGCAACATAGTCAGTTAACAGGAGTTGAGGCCGCAAAGGACGCCGGCGACGGTAGAAAGGTTGGATTTGCAGGGAGCAGCACTATAGCAATACAGCGATACAGCAATGGCGCAAGCGGCCACTGCTGACGGGGTTGAACTGTCACTGTCTGAGCTGCATGAGAAGCTGCAGAGCTGGCACCAAGAGCAGCGACACATACCCAGAATTGCTTGCAGCTGTAGCGACCTGGGATGCTGATAAGAAGCTGCACACGATTACTTGCAAGGCCTTTAGAGACTATGTCGGTAAGAATCAGCTGAAACCAGACTCCCTGGTGAAGTGTCTAGATGAGCTCAGGAAGCATGTCTACGTCACCTTCAAGCCTCAGAATGGGGAGGTATTTGAATACCACTTCCCGACAAAGAAGACCTGGGCCGGCTGTCTCAAAGACTTCCGCGAAGAAGCTGGGATCTCAGATCTATCTTCTTACCAGATCCTATGTGACGAGGAACTAGTGGCAGACTCGGGAATTCCGTGGAGGTCAGGAGAGCGGTATGAATTTGATGTCATGCAACACCAGACGGGTGGGTAGAAAGTCCTCGTTGATTCCTTTGCGAAATGCAAAATGGGTAGTCTGTTTCAAGGACAAGATACAAACATTCTAATCAATGATGCAACAATAATCAAGAGAGTTCTTGTTAAAAAGTGCACTTACCGATGCCGCTGATGCATGAATGCACAAATGCCCTCATGCACCTATGTTGATGCACTGATGCAACTGATGCAACTGATGCAACTGATGC